GGCGGCTGGGCAGGATGCCGGGAGGGGCAGGGCCTGGATATGTGTCCTGAGGGCTGGGGTTCATCACACTGGTGTGAAGGGCAGAGTCAGAACTTGTCCTGTGGCGGGGGGGGTGGGGGGTGGTGGAGGACATGAGCTGGCACCTGTGCCCGTCTTCCCAGTTCCTGTGCCCTGCTCAGTGGGGGAAAACACTGGCTGGGCTGGGACAGGGTGGGGCGAGGGAGCAGGGCCCAGAAAGCACAGATAAGAGACGTGGCACAGAGAAGTCCAGGGCCATCACCTGTTCAGTGCAGATGGTAGTCGAAACAACTGCCCCTTCTCTGCAGGGAAGTTGCCCCAGGGCATCGTCCTGGGGTGGAAACACAAGGTCATGAGGAGAAAGGCAAACAGACAGGAAAGGGGCTGGAGAGAGCCGTGCAGCCCAGGCCAAGATGGACAGGGCTGGGCAGCCGGCGCGGTGCCTCCTTTCTGGTTCTTCTGCTACCTGTGACCCATGACCCCTCTCCCACAATCAAGCTAAGAGATCTGGATATTCTCAACCTGTCTCTGTCGGGACAAGCTGAATGGGAATCCTGGAGCCCAGCAACTGGCCACTGAGGACGCCATAGATAGGAGAGACTCGGAAATCTGAGCGCCAGAACCGCGCAGTTGGCACCCACTTCTGTTGAGAGGCAGTCATTCTCCCTCGCAACACACACACCCCAGCCAGCCACAGTTACCATTGGTCCTGCACTGGCTGGCCTGGGAGGCTCGGCTGCCCGTGTCAACATGGCCAAGACTGGACTCTGACCCACCTACTACACCTGCCCTCACCCCTCCCAGCCCTGCATTATGGAGCAGGTACTGTTCCGAGCCTGCCCAGAGAGCCTAGCCCCGACCCAAGCTCCCCCAAAGACATGTCAGAGAGTAGACAGGAGATCCTGTCTGCCCTAGACACTGACCTCCGCCAGCTGGACTCCGGGGGAGGAGATAGGTAGGCAGGACTATAGGGAGAGCTGTCGACGTGAGCCGCACCAGTTAAGGAGACAAGGATGAGGGGGGCAGAGGATCAGAGACCAAGGGAGAGGAGAATACTGGAGGAAACTGATGAGTCATTTTTAGAAACAAGTACCCCCTCTCTTCCTCAAGCAGCAACGACAGGGCTGAAGGATGGAAAAGTGAACCATGCCCAGCCGAGTTGGAAGAACAAGGGAGAGTAACTGGACAGGGCTTGGGAATCAGGTCGTGAAACCTCAGTGACTGAAGGGGGGACCAAACCCCCTTCGGCAGGAGACATGTATCCTGCTCTGGCAGCAAAGAGCAGGCTGCACACAGCCAGAGAGAATGAGGCACAGCCACGCAGGCTGGATGGCGGCTTTCCTGGGAGGCTGGCACAAGACGGACCCAACCCACAGGCAGTGTCCCTTCACGCAGAATCCCGTCCCCAACCCTGCAGACAGCCCGAATCCTTGGTGAAGGATATGTGACGGGGGTGGCGGCGGAGCGGGGACACCATCCTTCGGGGGTCTCGCTGCACCCGTTCCACCAGCCCGTGGTGCCGCGTGCCCCGGGAGGAGTCCAGAGGCGAGTGGAGGGGGCTCTGCCAAAAGAGATAGGTCAGTCAGCAGGGGAAGCTGCCCGACAGCTTGTGCTCCCCCTGGGCTGCTGTCCACTCACCTGGAACTCGGCCAGGCCACAGCCAATCTGGTTCACGTTGGGCAGAGAGCCGCCGTAATGGGAGCTCCTCGTGTAGGCCAATCGCAATTTTTGGGCCTGTAACTGAGACATGGAGGACAAGTGGGAAAGTCAGGAAAGATTCTGACTACCGTTCCTATCCTTTGGCCACTCTGGCCATCTCTCCCCAGGGTATGCCACTATTGCTGGTGCATTTAGGAAAGCTGCCAAAAGAAAAGCCAGAGCTGGGCCAGACAGGGTGTGGAATCTGCCCAACCAACAGCACTCATGGCTGGCATTACCCTGCCAGGCAGGCCTGACACTTTGCTCAGGGCCTGTCCCGGTTGGCATCAGCCTGAACAGAGTCCCTGAGGGCTTGCCGGGAGCCCCCAGGCTAGTCATATGACTTAACTCCTGGGAAGGATGCCTATTAGGCACCTCCGCTTTCCCTTCCAGATGCGTCCAGGACTAATTGGAACATGAGGGGAAGGCCACAGGTGGATGCCACAGAGCCATTATCAACAGCCTCTTTCCCTCCCACTCTGGAGGGCACAGGCTTCTAGGCTCTGCCACTTGGCCAGCATTAGGAAAGCTACGCAGATCTTGCACCACCCTTGGAACATCTGCACATCTAGGAAATGATGGCTCTCCTAGCTGGAAAACCAGTACCAAAATCAGGAGGCAGTCTTCTTCCACCTAGCTCTAAAGCCCCCAAACTGGCAGGGGAGCTTTGAGAAGGGTGGTGAGAGGACGATCAATAGCCAAGTTCAGCCTGGGCAGAGCCATGTCCCTGGCCTGATCCCCACTGTGGGGAAACGTATCCAGCACTGCAGTGAGAAGCACAACCCTCAGTCCGGCACAGCGTCAGCCTGTCTACAGATCTTAAGTCCCTCTGTGAGAGGTGAACACCTACTTCTGGGGCTCAACCACTGCAACCAGCCAAAAACTAGACCCAGGGCAGCTGATGAGCTTCGGGGATCATGCAGTGTTGTGCACAGGCCAACATCAGAACTAACTTTCTGTTCCAAGAGGCCAGCCCACTGAGTGTAGCAGACACTATATAAACCTTTGGGCCACTCAAGATTGCTATTAATACATGTGCTAACCCCAGCCTTTCAGCAGTAGAGGACTTTAGGCTGTATCTGCCTCAAAGGAGCCCTCTCCTAGCCAGATAACAAGCTAAGCCCCAGATCTCTTATCTCTAATTTTAGACCCTTGGGTACCGACACCCTGGCCTTGTATGCCCACTAGACATGTATGTGCAGCAGAGGAGTAACCCTGCAGTTGCAAGATGGGTGGAGGGAGCGTTTCGACAAACTGAGGCATTACAAAGTCAGAGGCCTCAGCTCTGAGCTTTTCCCAGTCCTTCTCTTTGCACACACAAACCCTAAAATCCCACCATGCCTCTGCTGGAGTTACAGTCCAGACAGAGGATAGAGGCCCAAACCGAGCTTCTTGCCTACCTTCTTGCCTCCACACTCACCATGATCAAAAGCTCCTCCAGGGAGCAGTCAGCAGTTAGATCATGATCCTTGTGGCATTTAGAGGGAGTTGTGTATGTGTGCACCATTTGTTTCCCCACGTCTCTCTGTTCTGACTCCCACAAACTAGGACACACGGTCTCTAGAGACCAAAAAGGGGGAAAAAAAACACAAGAAAAACTAACAGGGGAGACAGAAGCAAGAATACAGCAGAACCACAGCCATAGACTCAACCCGTCAGATCAGCAGAGAGCTCTGAACCATCTCCCCGAAAGTTCCTTCTAGCTCCCTGCCCTGGGGGATCACTGCAATATCCTCACCTGCTGTTTTGAGAGTAAAGTGTCCCTAAATTAGGACTGCATACCAGCTGGGCAGACTCCCCACCCTCACTCCCTCTGACATCCAGTCCCGGGAAACAAAAAACGAAGGCCAGAGGGGTTCCAAAGCCAACTTTGCCAGGATGCCTCCCTCCTGGAACTATGTGGGAATGAATATCCGCTACACAGAAAAGTCCCTCCAAGGCACCTTATAACTGACCACAAGGCAGCCGTCTTCCTAGAAAGCTCAGCAAACCTAACCTGTCGCCAACTGGTTACCCGCTTCGGAGTTTCAAAATCCCACCTCCCCTCCGCGGCGGCCAGGGAAAACATCAGCACAGTCCGTAAGCAATGGACCTCACCTTCATTCTCGTCGGAAAACCACAAGAAATATTTGAAAAAGGAAGCAAAGGGAAGGGACTCAGGAGGGGACTTCCTGCCCCAGCAGACCCAGCGCGGCGGCGCAAACCACTCAGGGGCCCTTTCCCGGAGGGACGCAAGTGCCGAGAGTGGCCCCGCGGGGCAGAGCGACCGGCTGGAGATCCCCGACTCCGAGGGGCCGGGCCGGGCACCCGGACCATGCCCCCGCCCCAGGGCAGGAACGTCCCCGGGGCGTCGACTCGGGAGCCGGGCCCGCCGCCCCCCCCCGCCCCGCGGCCCTCCACCCGCGTCTCCCGGACTGCCGCGGCCCCGCTCCGCCTCCCTCGCCGCGGCGCCCGCCCCCGCCCCGCCTCCCGGTCCCCAGCTCGGAGACAGCTCTCTGGGCTCCTGCGGCCCGGCGGCCCCTCACCCGGGTGGAGCCGATGTCCATCATCACCTCCTCGAAGGCCGCCGTCTCTTCGGCCTGACGCTGCTTCTGCAGCGCGATCTTCTCGCTAAACTTACGCGGATTGGAAGCTGCGGCCGTGGCCGAGCCGGGCCCGTTCGCGCCCGCCGTAGCCATCTTCCCTGTGCGTCCCTCCCCGCCACCCTCCCGGACAAGCCACGGCCCCGCCGCGGGCCCCGGCTCGCGCCTCCAGCCGCAGCCGCCGCCGCCGCCGCCTCGGCGAGCACCGCGAACCCGGCCCCAGCCTAGCCCGGACCTGCCGCGCGCGGGGACCGCCGGGTACTGTAGTTTGTTTACGTGACCCCTGCGCGGCCCTAGGCGAGCAGCGCGAGCAGGAAGCGGACTTCATTTCCCAGTAGCCCTGGGGCCCCGGGGGCCTGGAAGCCTGGCCCCTCCCCCCGGCTCCTCCCTGCGCGAGGCAAGCTGGGAAAAGTAGTTCAAAATTGATCTGGAGCCTCTGAGCGCGAAGGGGAGCGATGTACAGGGGAGGGAAGGACCGGGAGGAAGAGGAAGGGGAAGGGGTGGAGACAGGGCGGGAAGAAGGAAGGAACAAAAGAGGGAAATTTGGGGTCATCAGGGAAGGGGATTACGGATCCTGAATGGAAACGGATCCTGAATGGAAACCGTGAGAGCAGGGATAGTACGACTGGGACTCAAGCCTCTCAGACTGGCCACGTGCCCACCCCTCGCCCAAGATGAAAGAGCCGAGGCACTGTACAAACGTATAGAAACTGCTTTTATTCGGGTAACAAGTCCCAAAACAGGTCAGTTAGTAAAATAGATTCTGGAGAACATGGCTCTATCCACAGCCCTCCCTCCCCAAAAATAGCGGGGGTGAGCCTTCCCCCCTTCCCCTTGGGCTCCTCTGATATAAAAAGTTTTGGCAGCTCAGTATTTATCACCTGGGCACGGGGCACCGTGTCCCTATCTCCTCCTAGGGCGCAGGAGCTCTGCCACCACCCCTGCCAGCCTCAACTCAGCAAACATTGCTGCCCCTAACAAAGAGCAAGCAGGGCCCCTCCCATGAGGTCTCAGGTAGGGCTCAGGGCCATCACTGTGCTTTCTGACAAAGGGGAAGGGATTTATTTGGCACTTTAAAAATAGAGAAGTGAGCAGGACTAGAGAAGGCAGAGAAGGTACCAAAACTGGCAGGAAAAGGCCATTTGGCACTAGTTCCCTGGAAGAAAGGAAGCAGAAGATAGATTAGGAGCTAAGAAAGAGTAGTAGGAGTCCACTCCACCTCAAGAGACAGAGGGCTGAACTGGGCTAGACGCAGGCCTGCTGACTTGGAGCTGTGCCTTCTCCACACCTCCATCCCACAGCAGCCTTCCCAGTGTCAGCTCGGCCCTGTATGTAGCATCTGACCCTGGACTCTAGCAGTCTTCCCCAATAGGAATCACTAGTCATCTTTAGTCACCTGACTATCCCCAGTCCCTTGGGGCCAGGCTCTTGTCTACCACATCCCTGTCATTGGTCAGGTAGTCCCAAAGACTCCATCCCTACCTCCCGGAGAACCCTTGGATCCTCAGTACCTCCCTTCCCCGCTCCTGCTTACCCTGGGGAAGAGCACCTGGAGCCCTTAGACTTGGATGAAGAGCAGGCCAGTGAGCAGGGCAAAGCCTGCGAGGAGCAGGATGACCTTGAGGATCCTCTGCTCAGATGCGGCCAGCTCCTGGGGCAGGATTTCCAGGAAGGTGATATAGAGAAAGGTGCCAGCCGCCATGCCCTCCAGCACAGACTGGGCCAGCTGGTGCAGTGGCCCCGCAGACTCTGCCAGAGCTGCACCCAGCCCAATGCCCAGAGGTGTCATGCATGAGAAGAGGATCCCACAACCAGCTACCACCTGCGCTCGCAGATGGCTCTGCAGCAGCCGCAGGGACAAGCTGACTGCCAGAATACCCTTATGGAGCAGCAAAGCCAGGCACAGCTCCATGGCCCGAGCCCGGTCTCGCTGCAGCCCCACTGCCAATCCTTCGAACACCGAGTGCAGGGCCAGGGAGAAGACCAGTACGCAAGCACGCAGGGCTGAGGGGGCTGCTGGAGCTCCACCTGCCTGTGGAACCCCTGGCCCATCGTGCCAGTGCTGTGGCCCACCATTTGCCGTTCCCAGCAGCGCCCTCGTCTCCTCTCGAGGTGGTGGCCCCGACTGCTCCTTGTAAGCTAGTGTTATCTGCTCCATCACCAGGACTAGGAAGAAGCCCATTGCCAGGATAAACTCTTGTAGGGGGAACTGGAGCTGCGGGCAGACAGAGCAGCAAGTTCAGGAGACAGGCCAAGAATGGGGAAGGAGTCAAATTCAGTCTAGAAGGGTCCCAGTTGTACAGACTCAGGATCCCCTATAGACGCAGGCCACTCAGTTACACAAACACAGAATAATACACAATCACACAGACTATAGTGTCACAGTACTATATAGAGACCAGTTTCTCAACCTCGGCACTATTTAAAATTTTAGGTTGGATAATTAATTTTGGAGGGCTGTCCTGTGCTCAGTAGGGTGTTTAACTGCATCCCTAGCTGATGCCCATTAGATGCCAAAAGCAAGAACAAAGTCTTCTGTCCAGGAGTTGTGACAACCAAACATGTTTCCACATGCTTCCAGTGGAGGAGGTGCAAGACACCCCCCCCCCCGCCCCCGAGAATCACTGATGCAGGTTACACAAAGTGTGACATGAAGGTACATACACACAAAGGACCACACGTTACCCACCTAACCCACTCTCATGGGGCTGTTCAGACTTACACAGAGTCACAGTCTCGGAAGGTACATCCCATGTTACTTCCCCAGTTTTAGGAAGTGGAAGAGCACAGGGTGCCTTCCTGGCACCTCCACACGATTGTCTCAGTTTTTCCCATGAGACTTTCCTCTGTCTGGTACTTGACCTTCACATCCAACTTCCTTGGGCTATGGCCTCTGTGGTCAGGAACTCCAAGCCTCCCACCCTTCCGAAGCCTGTAGGGCCCTCTGTTGCTAACCCCTTCAGGAAAGTGGTATGAGGGCGAAGAGGATTCTTGGAGGCTCGGACAAGAAACTCAAGAGTAGGTCACATGCCTAGGAAGAGGCTCCTCTCACTGTTCCAGAGAGTGCACAGCAGTCACAGAGGGATTGGGGGCGAGGGCAAGCACCCCCGGAAGAGTTATGCCCCATAACTACAAACCCCAATTCAGAGGGTCCCATGCTGAGTGACGTCCATGGCAAGGGCCACTTGTCCCACAGGTATATGATGGAACACACCCACACAGGGTCACATGCAGCCAGTAAGGGCTCACCGTCACGTGCAGGGCTGCCAAGGCCTCATCTATGGCAGCCAGGTAGTCAGGCAGTAGGTCCAGGAGACAAGTAGCCAGAAAGACACCCCCTGCGAAGCAGCTTACTAGGCTCAAGGCTTTTTGGCGGGAGGCTGGAGTGGAGCACACAGACCCCGTGAGCGACGCACCCCTGGAGCCTCACTGCCCCAACCCAAGTAATGGTCACTCTCACCTTCCCCTCTTCAGATGGACATCCTTAGCCCCAGAGCCCTCCCTACCCCAGGCTTGGGGAGGCAGCAGGGACAGCAGAGGCTCACCTAAGGCTTCAGGACCAGCCCCCGGCCGGCGCAGCACACAGATGGGCACGAGACTGCAGAGGAGCGTGAGCAACAGCAGCAGCACTAGGGCCCCCATTTTCACCTCCAGCCCCACGGGCCCTGGGGGCTCAGAGGCCACCGCCTCCGGGCGCCACACCAGGAGCTCTGGCTCTCCCCAGGGCCCCATGGTGGCTGCAGCTGCTCCAACGACGGTCACACCTAAGACAAAGTGAGTGGGGTATTGGCCACTTGAAGATGGGGCCAAGCAAAGGGGAGGGCTGGTCAGCCGAGGAGAGCTCCCACACCCTGCCGCCCTGCACCCTCTCCAGCCCGGTGTGACTCAGGCTCCCCGGTACCGGGAACGGCCCCCGGCCCCCGCACGCTTCACCCCTTCAAATAGCTCCTTCGGGGACCCCGCGAGGGGGGACCGGCGTCGGGGCGGTATGGACGACTCATTACCCTTCCACCTGGAGCTGGGTGCTCCCGGGAGAGGAGAGGCGGGGACCACCGCAGGAAGCGGCAGATGGAGCTGAGCTGTCGCGGGGCGCTTCGTGGGCCACCTGGGCAGGGCGAGTGTGGGGCTCGGTCCGTCCGCGCTCCGGTCTGCCCAGCGCCGCGCCCGAAGCGGAGAGCGGCGGGCAGATGGCCACAGGCGCCGCCCGCCCTCGGCCAGCCCCCGGCCGCCCAGCCCGCACAGTCCCGGTCGCACACTCACCTCGCCAGAGGCCCCTCCGCCACAGCCGCCGGGATCCTACGCGACTCGGGACCCTGCCCCGCCGCGCCCCGCCCCCTCGCCTCCGGGGGCCAATGACGGCCCCCGGGGGCGGGTCCAGGTCCGGAGTGACGTGCCCTAAGACCAATCCGAGACCGGTAGGCTGGCTGCGGGGGCGGGGCGGCTAGGGGGCGGGGCGTGGGTCTGCGGGGCCTGGGGCGCAGCGGGGCGGTCGGCCTGGCCCTACTGGCCGGAAGCTGGGACGCCCGAGGGCTAGGCCAGAGCCCGGGCCCACCCGCATTCCCAAGTCTTCCGCCCGGCTTGCTGAGCTCTTCTTCCTGGTCTAGGGAAGGCTGTAAGGCCCCTCCTGTGCATCTTGGCGCCAGAGGGAAAGCCTCCCTTCTGAGACCGACTTCTTCCTGTCTGGGCTCGCCAGCGCTCACAGCGAGGGAGAAACACGAGGCCGACTGGCAGAGAGGGCACCTCTTGAGAAGGATCCCTTCTCGGCAACCAGTGGCCTGAGCTCACTGCTGTGAGTCCTCTGTCCACCCTGAGAGTGTGCGGGACTGCTGGGACCCCCTCTTTTACCCCGCCTCCAAAGTCACCTTGAACTCTGCAGCTCCTCTCCCCCTGCTCTCCTGGCCTCCCTGCACCAAAGCATTTTCTGATGGGGAAACAGAACTGACTGAGGACAAAGCACATTGACAAGTCCTTGAAACAGGAACAGAGGACGTTGCTCTACGGCTCAACTGCCTGGATGTTCATACTTTGCTAAGGCCAAAGGCAATCTTAGCCCCCCCCCCCATCCTGTAAATCTAACATATAAAAATTCCTTTAGAAATTTCCTTTGTCTCTAAACCCCCCCAAGATCCGGGTTGGCAGTCATCCCCCAAGCACATGGCCCACCGATATCCATCTGAAGGGTCTCATTACTCAGAGTTTATTAGACAGTAATAAGTGACATTTTCCCAACCACAGCTAGCCCCCTCAAGGTCCTGGAAACCTTGCTTCCAAAATTCCTTAGAGAGTAAGCTATCGCCAAACCCCTCCCAACTCCGAGGTATATAATCAGCCACCCCTCACAGGCTCGGGGCAGCAGCTCTTCCTGCCTGCGGGTCCCATCCCTGGGGTTTAATAAAACCACCATTTTGCACCAAAGACGTCTCAAGAATTCTTTCTTGTTCATCGGCTACGGGCCTCACCTATATTCCAAAACTTCATCATTTTCTACTCAGGATCCTCATTGTTTCCTTAGGCTGGATCTTTTGTTTGTTTTTAAAGATTTATTTATTTGTTTGTTTATTTATTTATTTATTTATGAGAGAGAGAGAGAGAGAGAGAGAGAGAGAGGCAGAGACACGGAGGAGGGAGAAGCAGGCTCCATGCCCGGAGCCCGACGTGGGACCCTATCCTGGGACTCCAGGATCGCGCCCCGGACCAAAGGCAGGTGCTAAACCGCTGAGCCACCCAGGGATCCCCAGGCTGGATCTTTTGACCCACATTCCCTGTGCTATCAGAATCCTCTTCTAACCGCTTGGGAGCGCAGGATATAAAAGAAGAAATTAAGAAGGGGGCTCAGCCTAGTCTTTGCAAAGGCAGAAAGACCTTGTCTCAAAAAGAGGCAGAGTGATGGCTCTAAGGCTCTGGGAACAGAGGCCAGCAACTTCCTTAAGTCAGAATGGGAGCACTTCTTGAGGGAGAGTCCAGAAGAAAGGAATCAGATAGGACTCTTAAGATTAGGATGTAAGTGAAATGGGAAAGAACTGTACCATCATTTAATAATTATTATTGCCGAAAAAAAATTCATTGCTGTCCCAAGCTTTTTTTTTTTTATGATTCTATTTATTTATTTATGAGAGACACAGAGAGAGGCAGAGACAGAAAGAAAGAGAAGCAGGCTCCATGAAGAGAGCCCAATGTGGGACTCAATCCTGGAACTCCAAGATCACGTGAGCCAAAGGCAGATGTTCAACCACGAGCCACCCAGGTGTCCCCCAAGCTCTTAAAGATAAAAATTAGTGTTAAGAGGAACCTCTGGGGATGCCTGGATGGCTCACTTGGTTGAGCATCTGCTCCCAGAGATCCAGCCCCAGCCCCACATCATTGGGCTTCCTGCTCAGCAAGGAGTCTGCTTCTCCCTATCCCTCTGCCCCTCCCCACTGCTTGTGCTTTCTCTCTCTCAAATAAATAAATTTTTAAGGAGAAAACTCCAAACTATTTGAGAATATTATGCATGCTATGGTTTGTGGCAAATTATGCTTTCAAGATTATTATTTTTAGGGGATCCCTGGGTGGCGCAGCGGTTTGGCGCCTGCCTTTGGCCCAGGGTGCGATCCCGGAGACCCTGGATCGAGTCCCACGTCGGGCTCCCGGTGCATGGAGCCTGCTTCTCTCTCTCTCTCTCTCTCTATCATGAATAAATAAAAATTAAAAAAAAGAGATTATTTTTAAAAGATTTATTTATTTTAGAGAGATAGACAGCATGACTGGGAGGGGCAGAAGGAAAGGGAGAGAGAATCTCAAACAGACTCCATGCTGAGCACAGAGCCTGATATAGGGATTGATCCCAAGACCCGAAGATCATGACCCAAGTGGAAACCAAGAGTCACCCAGGTGCTCCTTAAGATTATTGAAAATTAGTAGCATTAACAAGGAATCATGGACTGGGAAACAGGACAGGACACCTGGGTACTTGTCCCAGCTGTACCTTAATTTGGCTGTTTTTGTTTTTAAAGGTTTTATTTATTTGAGAGAGAGAGAGAAAAAAAAAAAAAACAGAGGGAGGGTCAGAGGGAGAGGGAGAATCCTGAAGTAGTCTCCCACTAATTACAGACCCCAACTCGGGGTGGATCCTAGAACCTGGAGAACATGCCTGAACTGAAATTCATTTTTTTAAAAAGATTTTATTTATTTAATTATGAGAGACACAGACAGAGAGGCAGAGACACAGGCAGAATGCAGGGAACCCGACACGGGACTCGATCCCCGTTCCCCAGGATCATGCTCTGGGCTGAAGGCGGCACTAAGTCACTGAGCCACCCAGGGATCCCCTAAGCTGAAATTCAAAAGTCATTTAACTGACTGAGCCACCCAGATACCTCAATTTGGTTTTTTTTATATTAATTTTTATGTGTTTTTTTTTAAAGATTTTATTTATTTATTCATGAGAATACACACACAGAGAGAGAGAGAGAGAGAGGCAGAGACACAGGCAGAGGGAGAAGCAGGCTCCATGCAGGGAGCCCGACGTGGGTCTTGATCCCGTGTCTCCAGGATCACGCCCTGGACTGAAGGTGGCGCTAGACCGCTGAGCCACGTGGGCTGCCCCTATGTGTTCTTTAAAAAAATTTTTTTTATAAAAGATTTTATTTATTTATTCATGAGAGACATAGATAGCCCTATGTGGGACTTGATCCCTGAACTCCAAGACCACGCCCTGAGTCAAAAGCAAAGCTCAATTGCTGAGCCACCAGGCATCCCTTAATTTTTATTTTTAAATAAGGTCAATGCCCAACGTGGAGCTTGGATTCACAACCCTGAGATCAAAAGCCGCATGTTCCACTAACTGAACCAGCCACATACCCATCTACTTTAATTTGATGTGTGATCTTAAGCAAGTCATTCTCCTTCTCAGGAATTTGATAAAGCAGACGAAAGAGAAGTCATACTAGAAGATGATGATGCCAGGACGCCTGGGTGGCTCAGCGGTTGAGCACCTGCCTTTGGCCCAGGGCATGATCCTGGAGTCCCAGGATTGAGTCCCACGTCGGGCTCCTGCATGGAGCCTGCCTCTTTCTGCCTATGTCTCTGCGCTCGCTCTCTCTCTCCTTGTCTCTCATAAATAAATAAAAATTTTAAAAAGTGATGCCATCCAGTTCTAATTAATGTAAGCAGATTCTATTTTCCACATAATCATCTCTGCAAACGCAACCTGTAGGAAGCCCCTTGAGGCCTTTGTTGCTCTAGGAAAGATCTCCGCAAGGACAGCTCCAGCTTTCCTTAGAACTCTGCATCAATCCAGGAAGCCTACCTTGTCTCCTCAGTCCTTGGGCAGGAATGCAGGAAGATGAGCAGGAAATCTGAGAAAACCCCAGCAAGATAGCAGAGTGCAAACAATGTGAGCTCAGGCCTCCAAACCCTGGCTCTACTTACAGAATAACCTTGAAAAAGTCACTTCTGTCTTCCAGCTATGACTTCCTATGGAAACTGTGTGAGTAATGTGAGCATGCTAATGGTCACTCAATAAATACTAAGTCCTCTTCCTGTCTTTATTCTCAGCACGTGCGCATTTTACGAGAATACCAATTTGAATTCTGGATCCACACCCCAGACTTTCAGGCCTTCTTCCCTGAGAGCAGCTGCACGACTGCATCTCAAGTGAGTTCCTGGCCCGTCGGTGTCCCGGCTGTGTGTCCTCACCGGTCAGGCTAGGGAAACGCTCCTTGCCCCAGGGTCGCGTGGTGTTAAATAGGGGACGCCACTGTCGAGCTCGACAGATGTAGGACATGACATGCAAACAGTAGGATGAATTCCTGCACCAACCTCGGCGGCCGTTATCCTCTGGGCTCCCAGCCCCTGGCCCCCGCCAGTTAGCGGAGTCCTGGTTTCTCCAGCCGGGCCGACAGGTCAGTCAGCCTGGCCGATGTTGTATCGGCTCCCAGCACCTGCCCCCGGGCTCGCGGATCCTCCCTGGCAGCTGCCCGACCAGTCGGCGCGCAGCCTGCCCCGACACGGCACTCCTATTGGCTCCACGCGCTGCCCCTTAAATCTCTTGCGTCCAAACTCAAGAGTGGAAAGAGCTCCTGGGGTGGGGGAGGAGATGCTTGCGCGAGTCTCCAGCGATCCGGTCGCGCGGCTTTCCGGTTTTGTTTTCCAGCCTGTGAGCCGCTTTTGACACCAGTGACGGCCGGCACTTCGTATGCTGCGGCCACAGTCATCGCCGTCCTTTCCCGAAGAGCCCAACCCCTCAGGAAGATTTGCTGTCGCTAGGAGAAACGGACGTAAAGGGCGGGGCGGCCCGTGCTTTCCTGAAGTCCGGTTGGCGGACGTCCAGGCTCCCAACCCCCCACTTCGCGGTCCCGGGGTCAGGCCGGGGGCGGGGCTTGGCTGGGCAGGTCCAGGATGCGAGATCCTGGAGAGAAGAAAGGCTGCCCGCGGGCTGCAGAGGGGTGGGGAGGGCAGGGCAGGGCAGGGCCGAGGCGGCAGTCGGCCCCCAAGTCTGAAGCGGAGAGAAGGCCCGAGACGAGACCCCCGGTGGCAGGTGAGGAAAGGGGAAGGGAAGGAGGGGGAATCAGCCGCTCGGTAGGCAGGCCGCCCTCACCTTCCTGCAGCTCTGCCCGCAGAATGGACTTCCGAGCCCCAGACCTGCTGGACCAGTGGCTGGAGCCCCCAGAAGAGGTCTTCTCGGCAGGGGCCTTCCTGGAGCTGGGGCCCCCCTGCCCCCATGCAGAGGCTCCCGGGACCCCTGAGCAGGGGCTGCCAGGCAGTGTGAGTGTAACAGCGCAGGTGGGGCTGGGCTGTCCAGGAGCTGTCCAGGCCCGTGGCGAATCTGGGTCTGGGGTCAGGTGGCACTCCAGAACTCTTTCCTTCTGTAGGGCCTTCAAGAGAGTGAGCCCGAAGATTTTCTGAAGATTTTCATCAACCCCAATGAAGTGTACTGCTCACAAGCATCTCCTGGCAGTGACAGTGGAATCTCGGAGGACCCTGGCCATCCTGATGGTCCCCGTGCCCCCAAGGCACCCAGTTCCCCTGCTCTCTGTGAGGCTGTCTTTGAGGCAGGGGTTTTGCAGAGGATGGAAGGGCCAGCTGGGCAGCTCATCTCTGTCCAGCTAGGTCAGTGTTCTTTGTGGGAAGGGGACACTGGCCTTTCAGGTCCAGCCCTAATCCTTGGGCTAAGGGGTTTCCCCAACCTGTGCCTCTCCCTTCATCTCCTTTCTCCTGGTCACCTGTGTCTCCCTCAGATCAGTGGAGCCCACCACTTCCAGTGCCTGAGGCCTGCATGGTCTGCGAGCTGCCCCTTGATGCTCACACTCACACCCTGCACAGAGCAGGCAGTGTGAACCCAGTGCCTCCTGCCACCCTGGTGAGTCTTCAGTCAGCTGGATCCAGTACTCCCAGGTACAAAGATATGTACCCACACAGGTGGGGAAAGGGCTTGAGAGAGGGGGAAACTGATGCTAAACTCTTTGCTCCAATTTTTCATGTCAATGGGCCTGAACATCAAAGTGGCATGAGCAACTTTAAGAGCAGGAAAGGACAAGGGAGATAGAAGCCCTTGGGGGGTGTGGTGGTGACGACTCAGTTAAGGAGAAAGTTAGGTCAGGGAATCTGGGGATAGGGCCTGGAAGAAAGCCCAGACCTTGTGTGCAGTTTGCTCAGCCACGGCCAGCCATTGTTTCAGCCTTGGGTTAGGACATGAACAGGCTGCCTGGGAATCCAGCCGGCTACGAGAAACAGGGTATAGGAGAAACAAGTGCCACCATTTCCACTGGAACTGTGCACCACATTGGTTCCTGCAGTGGGAGTGAGCAGGGGTCTTGCTCAGGTCACTGTCAACCAAGAGTCACTGGGAAGAACTGCTTGTGTGTGAAACAGGGAACAGATTCTCAGCTCTCGGCCAGGCTGTGCTTGAAGCTGAGACCAGAGTGGAAGCCAAGCAACTCAGAATCAAGGGACCCTAAAAAGTCTGATATTTCTAGGCTTTCCATCAAAACACTGGGGAATTTGTGGCTTCAGGAGAGTAAGAAGCGGTCATCAAGAAAAGGCAAGAAGTCAAGAAATGGTTTGGTTAAAAGCCAAAGACCATCAGGAGTCAAAAGCAAAAACAAATTCCTCTTAAGCTAAAGTGAAGCATAAGTATTTCAAAAAGGAGTATCAGGGCAGCCCCGGTGGGGCAACGGTTTAGCGCCGCCTGCAGCCCGGGGTGTGATCCTGGAGACCCGGGATCTAGTCACACATCGGGCTCCCTGCATGGAGCTTGCTTCTCCCTCTGCCTGTGTCTCTGCCTCTCTCTCTGAATAAATAAATTAAAAATATTAAAAAAAAAAAAGTTATCAGAAGGCCAGGTTACTCAGTGGGTAGGCTCATGTTCCCCAGATGTCGTCTACTTGCTCCACATACTATGTTCCTAGAAGATGTTAAGTTTGCTGGCCATGGGAGTTCTTGGAGACGAGACAGAGCTTCAGTCTCAAAAGTGGAGCCGAGACCCTGAGGGCAAGTGGGCCACTGCCCAGGGAGCTCCCTGAGGTTGACCTGATGGAATAACACACTGCCAAGTGGAAGTTAATGGCCAAATGTGAATCATTTGCTTATTGTGAGATTAAGCAAACCCCACCTTAGTGTGTTCCTCCCTGTCTTCAAATACCCTTAAGCTCTGGGGAGGTGCAGACCAGAACAAGCCCTCCCTAGTTTGCTCAGGGTGCCAACATCCTGAGTCTGGGGGCAGAGAATGTAAGGTCTCCTATCACAGCTCCAGAAGGTCCCTTGGGCTTGGTCCAGAGCCCGTCTGAATTAAGGTCCCTTCCCTCCGCTCACTTCAGGGTTATTTACTCCTAAGTGCAAACGGGAAATTCTCCAAAAGGCATACAGGGGTGTGTGGCCTTGGGTGCCAGAAAAGGAAAGACCCTCTCCACCTCTCATCTACCTTCCCTGCTCTCTACTCTACCAGCTGCCTTGTCAAACCGTGTTCCTTACAGAGGAGGAGAAGCGTCTGCTGGGACAGGAAGGGGTTTCCCTGCCCACTCACCTGCCCCTCACCAAGGTAACATGCTTCCCCAAAGGGCCTCCCAGTCCCAACCCCAACCCGTCTCATCGTGGCCTCTGAAAGAGCCAGTATTACAAGGTTAAGGGGTAGTTGAGGGAGGTTAAGGGCCCAGGACTGACACACTTTGGGCCCTCAGGCAGAGGAGAGGGTCCTTAAGAAGATCAGGAGGAAGATCCGGAACAAGCAGTCAGCTCAGGACAGTCGGCGTCGGAAAAAGGAATACATCGATGGGCTAGAGAGCAGGTATGTCTGGGCCTCCCTCCTTACCAAGGAAGGCAAGGTCAGGGACCACCTAACTGCAAACGGTCCTACCTGTCCACACTCCCTAGGGTAGCTGCCTGTTCTGCACAGAACCAGGAACTACAGAAGAAAGTCCAGGAGCTGGAGAGGCACAACATGTAAGTGAAAAGCATAGTGTGCACCCCTGGAAAAGGGTGTGTGGCACACGGGGGCACCATTCCTGTGCCCCAGCCCCCAGGGGAGCTTACTCTTTATTCATCCTTCTCTAGCTCCCTGGTAACTCAGCTCCGCCAGCTGCAGACGCTCATTGCCCAAACGTCCAACAAAGCTGCTCAGACCAGCACCTGTGTTCTGGTACTACTTCCTGTCTCCCCCTACTTCCACCATCTTCTGCCACACTTCCATCCTGACACCCCCAGTCCCAACCATACTCACCTTCCCATCCCTGATGATCCCAACTACCCTTTGTTCGTTCTGCCCTTAGGTTCTTTCCATTAGTGTCTCCACAGCTCAAGTGTCCTTTTGCTTTCTCCAGATCCTTCTTTTTTCCCTGGCTCTCATCGTCCTGCCCAGTGTCAGCCCCTTACAGGGTCTCCGGGAAGCTGGTTCTGAGGATCACCAGCCTCATGGAGGTAAAGCAGGGGCAGGGCTACTTTCCCAGGGTGGTCAAGATGTGGAAGGGAGGTCCTGTCTAGGATTCCCCCACCAAGGAAGCACTCTACTACTGCCATTTTTCTTTCACTTTCCAGTAATTTCTAGAAATATCCTGACTCATAAGGACATGATAGAAAATTTGGAGACCACGGTGGTAGAGTCCAGATTGGAGTGGCCACCTAGGGCCAAGGATGTAAATGGCTCAACAAGGACCATGCTTGAGAAGATGGGAGGGAAGACGGGCCCTGGTGGGCACATCAGGACTGTCTTGCATGCAGATGAGATGTGAGCTGGACACATCCCAACCACAGTAAGGAGTCCAGGTTCCCCCAGGGGTCTGAATCATTTCAGGACACCCTTAGGGTCTGTACTCAAGGCCCAGGCTATATAACCAGTCATTGCAGATACTTTGTTATACATCTGCAATTTTATTTTTGGGGGTGGTTAGGGTTGAGGGAAAACAGAAGTTTGGGCTGATGAATAAACTTTTTTCCTGGAATTACATCTTGAAAGTTTTAAATAAGTAGAAGAAGAAGATAGGTAGTTGGTAAACTGGGGTTGAAGGTTGCTATCTCATTTCTGCCGCCAGGACTTCCTGTCCCAAACCAAATTATTATTATTTTTTTAAACCAAATTATAATAGAGAAAAAAACTATATTTTGCTCATTAATGATCTAAACAAGAGATAGAGAAGGTGATACCACCACAGGTTCCTAAGAAGGAGGGGCACAAATCCATTCATTCTGTCTGTGTCTGAGATATAATCTCTTAGACCCCATTGAAGAGTGGGAGGTAGCTATATGGACTCGATTTGCTTCCGGACCTTTTCCAGAGCTTTTCTGTCCAGCTGTCGCTGACGAACGATGACAAGGCAAGCGAAGACCAAGGCCACACCCACGACAGCCCCTTCAAATTTCCAGAATAAGTGTTGTTCCATCAGAGCTGAACGACAGCTAAGAGCAGGAAGAGACAGTTATTCCCAGGGAAGGCTGGACCACCACTCCCTCCAATCTCCCTTCTAGTGAAGCCTAACCAAGATATACCTGAGGAGAACAGAGGAAGCCACAGTTACCCTTCTAACATGTTTACCCTAAACAAACCCCACTCAAATATATCTACAACTTATTTTCTAGTGAGTTAAACAGAGCTGGTATTAATCAAATCTAGTGATGAGAAAATAAGACCAGTGACGAAGTGCTGAGAAGTAGAGCTGGGACTTGGATTTAAATACTTTGGTTCCCCCCTCTTCCAATATGCCATGCTACCCTAGACAGAGAAGAAGATGTAGGACTATTAGTCTCCCTAAAATCATGAGAACAAGAGGTGATGTAGGAGGTTACAAGATGAAAAACAGCACTTGCCTTTTGAATTCATTCCTCTTAGAAGAGCTGCATGTGATTTTCTCCACGTACCCTGTGGAGCCACACTCAGGGGTGGTTTTCTGTCAGGAAAAAGGGACCAAAGCACATATCATGAAAGGACACTTGAGCAATAGTCTAGGAGGGACAGGGACAGGTTCCAGGGCCTACTGGATTAAAAATTATCATCATGACTGGGGTGCCTGGCTGGTTCAGCCCATGGAGCATGTGTCTCTTGATCTCGGGGTTGAGTTTGAGCCCCACATTGGTGTAGAACTGACTTAAAAACAAGATTTTAGGGGCACCTGGGTGGCTCAGTTGGATGGGCATCTGTCTTCGGCTCAGGTTATGATCTTGGGATCCTGGGATCCAGCCTGGCAATGGGCTGCTCCCTGATCAGGAGTCTGTTTCTCCCTCTTTCTCTGTCCTTCCCCCAGGCTTATGCTCTCTTTCTCTCAAACAAAACCTTTAAAAACCCATCTGGAATAATTACAGGTTTGGTTTTTTTTTAAGATTTTATTTATTCATTCATGAGAGACACAGAGAAAGAGACACAGGCATAGGCAGAGGGAGAAGCAGGCTCTATACAGGGTGCCCGACATGGGACTTGATCCTGGGTCTCCAGATCAACACCCTGGGCTGAAGGCGACGCTAAACCACTGAGCCCCCCAGGCCGCCCTAATTACAGGTTTTTTAAAAAATCTTTAAAGATTTCTTTCTTAATCTAGAGAGAGTGAGGACACATGAGCAAGGGAAGGGGCAGGACCTTGAGAAATCACCTCCCAAGTCGGAGGCTCAACTGACTGAGCCATTCAGGCGCCCCCCCCCCAAATGAGATCTTTTTTAAAAAGTGAACATGATTATTAGCCAAATACTCCCATTCACTTAGGAAAGGGCACGTTTTCAGAGGAAAAACAGGTTCAGGTGTGGACATTGAGGCTGCATGGAACACTACAGGAGGACGATGCAGCGGCACACTGAGACGGAGAGAGAGAACGAATACTCACGGCCCGAAAACTAGAACACGGAGCACATTCCTCTGCCACCACAAACTCTTCCACCAGCCAGCAAGGCAGATTTGAGGTGCTCACTAGAGAGGGAGAGAAATGCCGGCCCCAGACCTCACTGAAAAAATTTCTCCCAAAGATGCTGCCCATCCCACTTCCCAGCACAGCTGAGCGCCCTCCTTCGCCGCGGCGCCCCCCGTCCCACCTGTGCTCCCGGGAGTGTCGGATCAGCGCAGCATCACCCACCTGACAGCTTCTCTGCCCTCTCAGGAGCCTCCGCTCGGCTGCAGCCGCGGGGGGGGGGGGGGGGAGGCACAAGTCAGAGGCCGGAAGATAGGGACTCGCCCCTCCCCCCTCCCTTCCCGTCCTCGGCGTTCAGCCTCTTCTCACCAGAGCTGTAAGGTGAGAGCGCAGAGCAGCCAGCACAGGTGGCTGCGCTGCTGGGGGAGGCTGTGCCTCCCCGCGCCCGCAGGCATGGAGTGCTCAGGGTCGCGCCCGTCGGGACCAAGGGACCTGCCTGACTGGCCGCTTGCCTCCGTCGGGGCGCGTACACTGCAGCCCTCCGGGAGCTTCCAGGTCAGGGCTGCGAAATGCTGGGACTGCCTGTCAGGGCCCAGGCATTACTGGGACGGCCCCACGGCCACTTGTGGACGGGGCTGTGAGCTCACGTCTTCGGACCCGCACGGACCTCGGGAAAAGCCGCGGCGCGTACGGTCTACTGCCCCGTCACCTCCGGGGCCGTCGCTGTCGCGGCCATCTTGCCCCGCAGAGGATGCCGGGCCGCGGAGGATGCCGGGCCGCGGGGGGGCGGGGGGAGAGACGCCGCAGCCTCGGGGGATGCCGGGAGCGGGGAAGGTTCAGGAGGCTGCGTCGCTCCGCGCAGGCGCGCGGGGCGGGGCCGCTGGAGGCCGCCGGCCGGGTTCATTTTCCCTCGGCTGGCTCGGGCTGGGACGACCCGGGCTGTCGTTCGTGGGCCCGTTCTGGGCGACGTGAGCAGCGACACGGAAGCACAGTCGTCTCTGCCTGAGAAAACGCCAGGGTGGCCCCGGTGGCCGGGCGGGAGGCGACGCTGCACTTGCTGCCCCTGGGCGCGCTGTCGCCTTTCCGAAGCTCATTGGAGTTTGGTTGGTTGCGTGGTCCCTGCGGCCTGGGACGCGTCTGCCGCCGACTCCGATGCGGTGTGCTCGGGACAAGGCCCTGCACCCTCCAGGGAGCCTCCAGAGCCGAGTCGCCGACTGGCAGCGTCGGGGTTTGGCGGGAGCCTTTCCTTCCCCTACGACGGCGCCTGTTACTGCCCTGCTTCTTGAATTACACACTTAGGTCTGCGTGTCTTCAGTAATGCTCAGGACTCTGGTATCTTGCGAGTAAGCTCGGGGTAGAAGTGACTTCCGAGGTGACCCAGTGAGTGGGAGCCCAAGTAGACCGTGCCGCCCCCTGCAGTCAGAGTTGGGCCGTGGGCCTGCGCTGGTTTTGTGCTTCCTCCCGGGTCGTGGGCACCGTGGGACCCTGGCCGGATCCTCCTTCTAGGGCTACAGACCACCATACCGTGCAGCCTCGATGACCTACTGAAACTCACATATATAGTCAGTAGTGGTCATTGGTGGTAATCTGCTCTCCCCAACGTCTTCAGGCGAAAGGGCTAGTCCCAGACTTTCTTGTTAACCCTATCCCACACTTTTCTGGCCCAAGAAGCCTTCCTAACTTAAACTACAACAGCCGCTGATTCCACCGCGCAGCCCTAAGGGCACCAGCACTTTATTCCAGGAATGAGAGTATAAGTAAGCCCTGTGATGTCCTACAAATTCTATCTTCCCTTCAGACATAGAGCTGGCTCCTCAGAAGCAGGAACAATCAGACTGTGGAAAGGTCATTAGATGGCAGTTGAGACTGAGCTTTACTTTTCTTGTGACTATACCCTCATTCCGTTAAGTTGCTGTTTCTGTGTCTCAGTAGTTGTATGTTCCGGAAAGTAGGTGTGAGTGTTCTCCAGTATCTTTTAGGCATACGGAAAGTCTTGCCGAAATCTTCTAGTATCTTATCAAACCTGACCACGTCTCTTGACAAGCTGTGGGAGTTGTAAGCTCTCACTTCCAATAGCTGTACCAAGCAACTGAGTAGGTCTCTACACTGAAACTGGATCTTAAAACATCTGCCCTGGGGTGTGATGAAGATGTCAGTTAGTGTTCTTTCTGGGATTCACAAAATAGCAAGTCTTTTCTCATAACCTTAAGCAAAGTACACCAGCTGGGCAGTTGACTACAGAGCCTAGGCATGATCTTTACCCCATAGAAGTTTGGTACTTAACACATTTATCCAATTATCCTGAAGTTCTCCCAGCATGGTCAGGCTTTTTCCCGGTGGTGTGTTTTACCAACAAACAGCAACACAGAAAGCTTTGCTGCTGACCCAGGGTTGTGCCATTTGCTTCCTCACAATAGGTGTGGGGATTTTTTAAATGCCTGAATTTCCTTTTTTTTTTTTTATTTTTTTTATTTTTTTATTTATTTACGATAGTCATACAGATTGAGAGAGAGAGGTAGAGACACAGGCAGAGGGAGAAGCAGGCTCCATGCACCGGGAGCCTGACGTGGGATTCGATCCCAGGTCTCCAGGATCGCGCCCTGGGCCAAAGGCAGGCGCCAAACCGCTGCGCCACCCAGGGATCCCTCCTTTTTTTTTTAAAGTATTTTTTTTTAATTTTTATTTATTTATGATAGGCACACAGTGAGAGAGAGAGAGAGGCAGAGACACAGGCAGAGGGAGAAGCAGGCTCCATGCATCGGGAGCCCGACGTGGGATTCGATCCCGGGTCTCCAGGATCGCGCCCTGGGCCAAAGGCAGGCGCTAAACCGCTGCGCCACCCAGGGATCCCTCCTTTTTTTTTTAATTTAAGATTTTATTTATTTATTCACGAGAGAGAGAGAGAGAGGCAGAGACCCAGGCAGAGGGAGAGAAGCAGGCTCCTCATAGGGAGCCCGATGTGGGACTTGATCCTGGGTCTCCAGGATCAGGCCCTGGGCTGAAGGCGGCACTAAACCACTGGGCACCCAGGCTGCCCTGCCTTGAACTTCCTATCTGTGAATTAAACTTTTAATGGTATTTTGTCCAAATCAAATGTGACATTTTCATTATTCCTGATAAAAGGTCATCTGTGAGGTAATTTTGCTGTTTAGAAACTATTGTATAAGGATCAACAGGGGCTATGAATGTTTAAGGGCAGTGTGCAGCAAACCTGGGATTTTTGGTGCTGGTTCTTTTTTTTTTTTTAATTTTTATTTATTTATGATAGTCACACAGAGAGAGAGAGGCAGAGACATAGGCAGAGGGAGAAGCAGGCTCCATGCACCAGGAGCCCGATGTGGGATTCGATCCCGGGTCTCCAGGATCGTGCCCTGGGCCAAAGGCAGGCGCTAAACCACTGCACCACCCAGGGATCTCTGCACCACCCAGGGATCTCGGTGCTGGTTCTTTTGCATGCCAATAGTTTTGCCTCTTTGTAATTCAGTAATTGGGAGCTGTTTTTGTTAAAATTTTCTTGTCCTTCTTGTAAGTTCCACTCAAAGATTATATTAACTTGACTATGTTGTATGGCACATATCAGATGCTCAATAGATTGATGACTAGGGCGCCTCGGTGGCTCAGTCAGTGAAGTGTCTGTGTTCAGCTCAGGTCATGATCCCAGGGTCATCGTGATCCCTGCTCAGCCAGAAGTCTGCTTCTCCTTCTGCCTCCCCCCACCTCCCGCTTGTGCTCCCTCTCCTTCTTTCAAATAAATAAATAAAATATTTTAAAAAAATTTATGACTAAATAAACCTCTTCTGTGTCTGAAAGTGGAAAATAATGCTTACCAGCTACCTAAAAGGATTACTGGCGGAATCAGAGACGCTTGAAGAAATCACAGGTTAAACAGTACAAGGTCCTGTTATTTCCTTGAGTCTGCATGTCACTCCCCTGGGAAGGCCCAAGAAAGAGTCTTTCTGAAAAAAGAAAAGAGTCCTGGAAACCAGACAAGGCTCTGCCCATAGGACCCTCTAAACCCCATAATGGAAAGATGACCAGACCTTCAGGTTCAGAGAACCTCCTTGCTCTTTTCCTCATTGTGTAGGGACAGGTCCTGGTGTCACAGGAACCCAGCCCAACCACCTTAGAGGCAGGAATTAGGTCTGATGATAAATTTCGTTACCCAAACCAGGGACCTCTGTGTGGGTGGTGGCCTTTCATACCGAGCCAAAGCATGTAGAGTCCTAGGGTCAAATCTCTAGAGGGGTGCTGAGCCAACCTCATACAACCCTAAAGCCGGATTCAGTAACAACAAGTCAACTTTTTATTTACATTTGTGTCTGCCCTCAAGTCCCGGGAAAGGCTGACACCCAGGGCTAGTGGTTTCCTCCTCCCCTTCTTCCTACCCCCTCACCTTTTTCTGCTCGCTTGCTTCTCTCTCCTCCTTGCCTCTCCTTCCCTGTCCTGTCTTCTCTCCTCTCCCCTTCCTGTTTTCTTTTACATTTGCTCCCTACTCTTCCACCATCTATCTCCTCTAGACCCCCTCCCCTCGCCCCACCTGCTGTTTCTCCCCTGCCCACCCATAGCCCTGCCTCCCTGAGGTTCAGCCTCTGGGCCTAGGGTCCTCAGCCGAGGGAGCACTTGCTGGTGTTCTTCTTATCACAGGGTTTCAGGTCAGTGCCGGGGGGCTTGTGGCTGTTTCCCTAGAGATGGAAAGGCACCGGGATCAGAGTGACAATGGTGGGCTGGGGTCTGAAACAACATTGTTTGAAGGGGACCTACTCTCATGGGCAGTGTTAGTGCTCCTCTTCCTGGGGTTTCATTTCTAGCATGCGTGTGCGCGCATGCACACACACACACACACACACACACACTCAGCTGGCTCAGTCCCACAGAACCAACTCACCGATCTCCGGCCTCCTGACTTGAGCAGGATGTCCCGGGCCAGGGAACTGAAAGCCTGCCAGGGAAAGGAGTGAGTGGTGAGGACAGGCCTGCCGACCAATAATGTCCCAGGAGCAGGTGTGGGCACAGACTGTGGCTCACCTCATCCACATTCGTGCTGGATTTGGCACTTGTCTCAAAGAATCGGATTCCATGCTCCCGAGCCAGCTGTGGGGTGGAGGGAGAAGAGAGGTGGGTCAAGGATAGCACCCTCTGGCATCCAGCTCCATCTGGCCTGGCCCTCACCTTGATGGCCTGCTCCTTCTGCACCTTTCTCTTGGCCTCCATGTCACACTTGTTCCCTAGAAGCAGGCGCTCCACCCCAGCTGAGGCATTCTGGAAGCAAATGGTAGGAAGAGTACAATTGGGTCCTGCTTAGCTTCATGGCTTCCTCACCCTCCAGGTTCTACCCAGTCCTCTGGCTCTCTAGGGGGGGTCCTCACCTCTTTGATGCTTTTCATCCAGTTCTGGATATTCTCAAAGGATTTCTCATCTGTGATGTCATATACGAGGATAATGCCCTGGGGAATGGCAAGAGTTCACCATGGAGCCTTGGGCCACATGCCCCCATTTCTGCTTCCTGCCCCTTTAAGTGACCCTGTAAGTTCTACCCATGAATCTACCCCTTGGTCCACATGGGGCCCTCCCCTGTCACCCAGAGCCCCCTCCCAGTTTCCCTGCCCAAGCTCAGCCCCTGGGGACTCAGAAATCTCCACTTTATGGCCTCATCCCTCGTCCAGACCCACAGCTCATACCATGGCTCCACGGTAATATGCAGTAGTTATTGTCTTGAATCGCTCCTGGCCAGCTGTGTCCCTGAAAAGTGGCATGTTTCGTGGGGCAGGACAGAGGGAATGCTTCTCCAAGGAGTGAATCCCCCCTGCTAAGAACTTAGCTTTTACACCAGGGTGGGGCTGAACCAAACAGAATCAGAAAACAGTAAAGGGAGAAAAGGATGGAGGATGGCTGGGAGAGGACACAGGCTTAAGGTACAAGGTCTCATTGAATACTTTATACCAAGCACCATCTTCACCCTACCCTTGGGAGACATGTTTTCTGGCCCCTGTTTTACAAAGGAGGACAGAGATTTCGAGAGGCTCCATCACTGAAGGTCATCCTGCATCAGAAGGAGAATGCAAACCACAATCTGCTTCTATCTGTAGCACCCTAAACCTTTGAGCCGCCAGCCACTTCCACACCTTCAGGATGTCCAGGTCCTGTGGCAGGTCAGCCCTCTTTCCTCGGCTTTCTGGGTTCCCCAGACTTGAGAGAGAGTACAGACTTAACAAATTCTGCTGCTTGCCATGGATCGGCTTTCATGCCATCTCCACGTGACAGCTCTGCAGACACCTGCTGTCAAGTTCAGAGAAGGCTCTGGAGCCAGGAGAGGCAAGAGTTACCAAAGAGCTGAAAAGAGTTGAGTGAACTGGAAGAGAGATGGAAGGACGTCTGAGTGGGGGATAGGAAGTGGCCTGGGAGAAGTACCGGAAGGAGCAGGAGGGGAGAGGGAGAGATGGGCAGCCACAGGGAGGGGACTGGTGCTCAGAGGTGAATGAGGGAATATGCCTCGCAGCCCAGGGTTCACTCACCAGACCTGCAACTTGATCTTCTTCCCCTCTACATCCACAGTGCGGATCTTGAAGTCGATTCCTAGGAGGGGACACACACAGTGAGGCTGAGGCCATGTGGGTACATGGGGGGCACAAGGGGTAACCAGGGGAGACCAGGAATGGAGTGCCAGCAGTGCCAGGAATTCTGTAGGGGGTGCGCCTGGGAAGCAACCTTGTTGCAAGTGTAAGACTAGGAGAATTTTTCTCAACTCTGTATTTGTATAGTAAGCATATTGTTTTTCTGGGGATGTCACGGACCTGAGGGGGAGGTGACAGAAACTCTGCAGAGAAGTGTAAAGCGCCGCTTGGGTCCCCTCAGAGGCACGAGTTCACAGCTCTCCCAATTCAGGGTCTCCCTCAAAAGAGAGCTTTCTGATTCCTCTTTTCTTGGTCCCCAGAACCCAGTAGTCTGAGGCTCCAGCCATCCCCAGCCTCTGGGACCAACAGCCAGAAAAGGCTGATGCCATCTGTGTGTCCATTAGTGGGCCAGGCCCACTCCTCTTGCGACCCAACTAGGAAAGACGGGCACTTTCCTTCCATTTCCTGACCAGAATGGTCTTGAAACTCCCCTGGCTTTTGTTCCCAGGCCAGAGAAGGTGGACTAAGAGGGGGAGGAGAAGCAGAGAAGCAGCGTTCTTAGTGGCAATGCGGGCCCCTCCCCAGAGCCTGTGGGGAGCCCCAAGAGGACGCTGAGTCACCAGGCTGACTCAGAGCCCCCAAAAGTTCCCCCACTCCCACCTTCCTTGACTGGCTGACCGCACATTCACCATCCTGGTCCTCGGGCTCCCCTTTCAGCACAGCCAGCCACTCTGTTCCAACCTCCCCACCCCCAACCCCCATGAAGTGGTGGCAGGGAGACTGGGAAGTGCTTGGGATGGAACTCAGCAGGACAGGAAGAGGCTGATGGGATTGGAGAGCAAGTTGGGGGGCTGGGTACGAACCGGTCAGGGGTTCTAGGGAGGCGGTGGGGAGATGCGCGGCGGGAAGGACAGACGGATCCTGTGGATCTGGGGGATGCCAGAGAAGGACGGTACCAGGAAAATGAGGGGCGGGCACAGGGAGTTACTGGGGGCCTCAGAGAGCTTGGAGGTCGGGAACCATCCTGAGCCGTGTGTGGCCTGGGGCTGACATGGGGGCTAAGACACTGGACTTTAGAAGCCTCCTTCTGGGGCACTGAAAAGTAGGGCCACTAGTAACCTGGGAGCCTGGGGCGCCGGGGCTAGTGAGCCCAGAGGGGTCACCGATGGTAGAGATGCAGGGGTGAAGGCCTGGGGGCGCCGAGGGTCGGGGGCTTGGCCAGCGGGCTCACCAATGGTGGAGATGTAGGTGTTGTTGAAGCTGTCCTCGGCGAAGCGAATGATGAGACAGGTCTTGCCCACGCCCGAGTCCCCGATGAGCAGCAACTTGAAGAGGTGGTCGTAGGCTTTGGCCATGGCGGACACTGGGGAGCCGGGGGCGGCGCCGGGGGGCGGGACCGCGGGACTGGCGGACGGAGTTGCCCGGAGCCCAGGCCAGGAAGAGTTTCCCTCCCTCTCCACCCAGGCTCCGGGACGGAGGGGAGGCGGCCCCGCCGTGGGCCCCACCCCCGGCCTCCCGCCCCCGGCCGCCTGCCCTCTGCCCCTGACGGCCGCGAAAGGGTAGCCGCTGCCCGCCGCCCTGGCCGCCTCAGGACCGCGGGCCGAGTCTGGGCGACACGGGGGGCTGAGCTCGAGGACCCGAGGGTCACTCCGGGGTGGACGCCTTCGGGGCACCTCTGGGCTTCGGCCTTCCCGGCCCTCAGGTCCCGCCCCAGCTTCCCGGGATCGCTACCGCGCGCCAGGAGCACCAGCTCTGGTTGGGACCGGGTGCCCCCTGCTGTACCGCGCGAGGAAGCTGCCGCCTCGCAGGGGGAGGGGGAGAGGCGGGACACAGCACACAATATACACACCGCACAACACATACAGCAAGCACTACACAACATACCACGTACACACACACCACATACATATACCACGCACACATCCCCTACACCAAATAGACACACACCACGCACATACCACACATATACCATATCTCACACACACACACACCCATATACCACACAACGCACCCCCAGCACACCCCATACCACAGCCCCCCACACACATCATATACCACACATACAGATACACTTTCACAGAGACACATTCTGGGGCTTCATTAGCAACAGTATTCCTTCTGGGACCCTGTGTGTGCGTTTCTCAGACAAGCCAGTTACAGGAAGAGAGATATTGGTACCATAAATGTCTGGTTTCGTACATTCTTTTTTTTTTTTTTTTTAAGATTTTATTTGACAGCAGGGCAGAGGGAGAGGGAGAAGCAGGCTCCCCGCTGAGCAGGGATCCCGAAAAGGAGCTCGACCCCAGGACCCCAGGGATCATGACCTGAGCCGAAAAGGAGATACTTAACCGACTGAGCCACTCAGGGACCCATGGTTTCATTCTTTGGATGAGGTATGGATCTTTAACACAGCCCTGAGGCCGCCCTCTTGGGACCACATGAAAGGGCTGTGAAAAGGCAAGGAAAAAGCTTAAGTGGAAAACATGGCTATAAAGAAACAAGTTTATCTTTGCTTTTTGGGGAAAAAAAAACTGTTCAAACTATTTGCTTTTCTAACAGTGGGTCAGAATTGTCCTCGTGTAGAGCGTACTGGCACTACACTTCCCTCATCCGGTCACGTTCGCGCCGGCGCTTGCCCCTTCTCAGACACCACCACTGAACCCACTTTGTCCATTCTCTCACCTCCCACCATGTCTTCAAGCTGTATCACAAATCTTGAGTTTTCGCTATTTCTCCTCACTAGCCAAAGTGTCCTTTATTCTTCAACTTTCATTAATTCTGACAATAACCCAGCAATTTTTTTGTTTTTTTCCATTTTGCTTGGAACTGGACTCCATCCCCAGAGTGTGGTGCGTGTGGTGCCCACCCCTCCAAACGGTACCGATGCTGGGGTACAATAGCTGTTCCTGAACCCGACCCCGGACGCTCTGCCCTTCACTCGGAGCTCCGGCAACTATGCCTCCCCTCCGTCTGGCCCTGGGTTTTGTCCGTCAATCCACACTGTGCTTCTGTCCAGACTCCGGCCCGTCAGAGATCCCTCTTCCCAGTGCCGCTGTCACTCTGGAAGTTCGACTCTGGCCGCGGGGCGGGTGTTTGCACCCGACACTCCACGCCCCTGACCGGAGCTCACACGCCTCTGCTTGGATTCCCAGACGCCGTCGAGAAGTCTTCGGTCCTCTGGTGACAAAGGGACCTTCTAGACGCTGGGCCCGACAGCAGAAGACGTGGCTCCGGTCCCGGTTTGCTTTCTCCTCGTCCTTTCCCGTGTGTCGGTGCGGGTGTGCAATGTCCGGCCGCCACAGCCGCCCAGGGCGAGCACTACGCCAGCGTCTGATGTCATCGTCACTTAGAGGAAAACCACTGGATAAAACAAAACAGCCGCTGACCTCGCAGCAAGCTGGGGATGCGGGGAAATAGGCGGGCCTTCTTTTCCCGTGTTTACACTTCGGGGTGCTGACTGGGCAAAGTAAACCCACGGAAAAACAGCAAAGGAAGCAGAGAGGTCGCAGGCAGGGCGGGGCGCGCCTCTTCGTCAGCGTACCCTACGGACGCGCTCCCACGGTCGCGGCGCAGCAGCCCGTCCAAAGGCGCTTGGTTTCTGCCACAGGCGGCGCGCGGACTTCGGCATGGCGGCCGAACGCGCGCGCGCGTCACTTCCGGCGGGCGGCGGATATAAGCGGCAGGATTTCCGCTTTCGCTCCTTTCCGGCGGTGACGACCTCCCCACGAGAACATGCCCGTGAGTTCCTCTGCCCGGGTCTCGGCGGAGCCCTCGCTCCCCGTGCGCGCGCGTGCTCCTCCGCCGGGTGCGGGCCGTGGGGGCCGGCCGCGGACCGCGGGCGGCCGGGGGCGGGCGGCGGGCGGCCCGGGGCGGGGTAAGATGGCGGCCCCGCTGCGGACGCCGGGCGGTGCGGGCTGTTGCCGCTGCTTTTGCTTCTTGCTCCTGTTCCTCCTCCTCCCCACCCTACTACCCCGGGCCGTTGCCGCTCTGACCACACCTTGTGCCCTCGTAGCTTGCGAAGGATCTCCTGCACCCGTCCCCGGAAGAGGAGAAGAGGAAGCACAAGAAGAAGCGCCTGGTGCAGAGTCCCAACTCCTACTTCATGGACGTGAAGTGCCCGGGTGAGGGGCGCCGCCAGGGGGGGAACGACGCTGGAGGGGGAGGGGAGGGCCCCGGGGCCGGGGTGAGGAGAGCGGCGGGTTCCGAGCGGGCTCCAGCGAGGAGGGCCTGAAAAGGCCTGAAAGGTCCTCACTCCCCGCTTCCTGACATTTCTTCCTAGGATGCTACAAAATCACCACCGTCTTCAGCCACGCACAGACGGTAGTTCTGTGTGTCGGCTGTTCTACTGTCCTCTGCCAGCCCACGGGAGGAAAAGCAAGGCTTACAGAAGGTGAGCTGCTGAGCGAACGTCGTCGTTGGGGCTTGAATCTTGGAGCGTGGGTGGGGTGGTGTCGTGTGTCCTCAGACCGCCTCGTGCAGGCTGTTGGATTGGAAAGTCCGCCGGCCACCCTCCCGCAACAGGATTGCCAGAAACCACACATTCCTTAGATCCGAAACAAACCTAAAGCTGTACCTGGGTAATGATGAAAGGGGCTTCATATGAGCGAGCACGAGGGCTATAAACGGCTGAGATGGTAGCTATAAGTTTTGAGGAAAGTAAAGATGTAGTTTTCCTGTGGATGGATTAGCAGCCAAGCTCGTTTCTTGGGGGTGGCAGGATAAGTAGGCTGCTATCAACCTCTGAACCGTTTTTTCTTCCAGGATGCTCCTTCAGGCGGAAGCAGCACTAAGAGCTCCCTGAATCAAGATGAGTGGGACACTATCCGAATAAACAGATTTTGGATACATCCTGTTTATTGTCTTTGTTTTACTGCTAGGAAGTTCCTACTCAAGTACTCAGGGGCACCCAGAAGAGTGGACTGCTAGTCATTTGGG